CCCCAAACGGAATACGTGAGTGTGGCCAATAACACAACACAGTTCAGACTAAGATACGCTTAACCGATATTAATACCACTATTGGGAAACATTATTGAGGGCAAGGACATCTTAGTCTGAACTGTGTTATGTTATTGGCCACACTCACGTATTCCGTTTGGGAGCCCCATTTACGGAAGAACTTGTTAGAACATTTCGTCTTGGGGTCGTCCTTCTGTCGGAAGCTCTTCAAATAGAAGTCCATCAAGGAGTACAAATCAGCCGGGATCACAATCGTGCCTGCGGAGTGAGGGTTTATCAACAGAAGAAACACGTCTTCTCCGTGCGAATTCACGCGTGCCTTTGCGTTATAAAATTCTTGTAGGGTTAGACCCTCGGTCACCCCCACCCTTTGAATACCATGCAGCTGAAGTTTGACAAACAAGTATCTCGTTATAAAAATATAATCACTCATATTGTCATTTCTAACACCGCTGCGAGCCAGTTTGTCACGAATCGTTTTCAATCGATCGTTGATTTCAACGTTTCGCGCCAGCTCTTCCCTCATCTGATTAATATCATATTTGACCACTTCGGTCTGTAATTGGATTTGCCGCTGCGTGTTTGCGACGGCTATCCTACTATAGTTGTTCTTAACCATCACCGCCATGCCTTCCAGCATTATCTTGGCGTGTTCCTTCATACCCGGGTCGGAAACATGGTAATTGCAGCTAGTTAATAAATATGTCAAATAAAGTTTAACCGATTGCAGCTCATTTTTCATGGCTGTCGGCTGCAGGCCGTATCCATTTCCCGTGCCATCGAGATCGTGCGCAAGCCTATCGTAATAATTATTGAATGTATCCTGTTGATACAGACACTTCGGGTCTGCGCTACTCGTGCCCATTTCATGGGTCTTTTGGATGAAATGGAGTAATTTTGAAATCTGGTTTACCTTATTTGTTACACTTCTTTCTTTCTTTCCGGCTTTACATAGCATTAAATGCGAGAAAAATGAATATAAGTGGGGATCTCCCTTGTCGGCCTCTGTGGTCCAGGCTATTCTTTCTGCCAATCCAGCATCCTTTCGCATCGCACGGGGGAGGGGGAGTAGCAGTACCCGACGAGCTACCATCACAATAACCAGCCTCCGGCGGAGGGGGCGCGCGTCGTTCTAACTCGGGTGGGCTAGCACCAGAAGTACTAGCCCCCGAATTCACAACACGGGGGTCGCCGCCAGTCATGACCCCAGAGGAAGTAGCCGGCTGCTTTTTACTGTCCTTGCCCTCAATAATGTTTCCCAATGCGGCGAATGCGGCCTCATTGGGTCCCATTGCCGTGCACGATTGAACGTGCTCATGGTTAATCCCATCCGCTGGGCGACGTGGCGGCAAGTAGTGGTATTAATATCGGTTAAGCCGTATCTTAGTCTGAACTGTGTTATGTTATTGGCCACACTCACGTATTCCGTTTGGGAGCCCCATTGACGGAAGAACTTGTTAGAACATTTCGTCTTGGGGTCGTCCTTCTGTCGGAACCTCTTCAAATAGAAGTCCATCAAGGAGTACAAATCAGCCGGGATCACAATCGTGCCTGCGGAGTGAGGGTTTATCAACAGAAGAAACACGTCTTCTCCGTGCGAATTCACGCGTGCCTTTGCGTTATAAAATTCTTGTAAGGGTTAGACCCTCGGTCACCCCCACCCTTTGAATACCATGCAGCTGAAGTTTGACAAACAAGTATCTCGTTATAAAAATATAATCACTCATATTGTCATTTCTAACACCGCTGCGAGCCAGTTTGTCACGAATCGTTTTCAATCGATCGTTGATTTCAACGTTTCGCGCCAGCTCTTCCCTCATCTGATTAATATCATATTTGACCACTTCGGTCTGTAATTGGATTTGCCGCTGCGTGTTTGCGACGGCTATCCTACTATAGTTGTTCTTAACCATCACCGCCATGCCTTCCAGCATTATCTTGGCGTGTTCCTTAAAACCCGGGTCGGAAACATGGTAATTGCAGCTAGTTAATAAATATGTCAAATAAAGTTTAACCGATTGCAGCTCATTTTTCATGGCTGTCGGCTGCAGGCCGTATCCATTTCCCGTGCCATCGAGATCGTGCGCAAGCCTATCGTAATAATTATTGAATGTATCCTGTTGATACAGACACTTCGGGTCTGCGCTACTCGTGCCCATTTCATGGGTCTTTTGGATGAAATGGAGTAATTTTGAAATCTGGTTTACCTTATTTGTTACACTTCTTTCTTTCTTTCCGGCTTTACATAGCATTAAATGCGAGAAAAATGAATATAAGTGGGGATCTCCCTTGTCGGCCTCTGTGGTCCAGGCTATTCTTTCTGCCAATCCAGCATCCTTTCGCATCGCACGGATACGACCAACCAAAGTTTGCCCCCTATAGGTATCACCCCTCAACAAATACCTTGTTTCGACCTCGTCTTCAGACTCGCTTTCAGTCTCACTATCGCTGCTATCAGACACAAGTGGGCGAGCTTGCCGGCGAGCTTGCCGGGGCCGAAGGGCTATCTCTGGACTACTCTCCACATCGGGAGTAGCCGCAACATTGTCGTTGTCGTTGGCTTCGGGAACATCGGTCGGAGTCACCGCAAGTTCGTCTGACTGGGCCTCTGCTTCACCTCGATACCTGTTGCCTCTAATATTTTCTGCACTTGGGGGAAACTTACCCAGCCATCATCACCGGGCACCAGTTGCAAAATATCCGTCAGACGAATCCTGGGATTAATTGAGTACTGGCGCGTGGCAATGTCGCGGGATATACCTAACGCCTCTTCCTTACTCTTATCATGAACACTTGTCAAATGCCTAACAATATACACAAAGGGCATTGCTTAGCGTGTCTACCAGACATGTTGGATATATAACCTATTCAAATGTGAATATTTAATGTAATCTGACTATATTAAATCACACTTATTACCAAATGAATACTTTAAGATAAGCAGTGTATATTTAATGTAATCGGATTATAATAAAATTTCACATCTACTTTGAAATAACATACAAGTACATAAAATATAATAATAATATAATAAGAAAATGTACTAGAAAAATCTGAACTTAGCCGACTCTCAACCTTAACCTATATTCAACACAAGTTTATCGCGAATGACAAACCCCGATTCCTGCTTACCTTATATACCTACAGGAATGGAACGGTTTGTATAATGCCAACTAATATTACAAGATTAATCTAACGCCTAAGCCAACTTCACACCAGCAAAGATGGCGTCATGCTGTCGCAAATCAATTACAGGTATCAGATAAAATTTATTTTTCTGCATTCACACCAAATATGTTTATTGAATTTCAAAAGAGGAAGCCATCCCTACAGTTAATCCGTTATGGCTTTCGTAGAAGGGCGACAATATGTCTAGAACATATATTTCTTCATGTGTATTTCCCATAGGAAAAATCTGAAAGTTGACAAATATACGCAATTACAATCGTATTTATTTGTGAAACAAACTATGTTAAAATTAAATGTTTATTTCTGTTGAAATATTTCATTTCACGAGTATGCAATTAACATACAGTATTTAATAAACAATTATTAATGAATATTGATTTCCATGTGAAGAACGTAATTCTATATATTTTATTATGAAATCGCTATGATATATACAGTTAATCCTGTTAATCGGTTATTAGCAGACGACGCCCACTAAGACTTCAATTATAACCCGCCATATTCGTAATCAATCTACAGGTTTGACCCACTTAATCCCATTAATCGGTGCATTTGTCAAAATCGAAGAATATATAACCAAAATACCAAAGTATTTCTGATCGCTAGCGTTAGTAACTTCTGTAAACTACCTGTTCGCTAAGACTTCAATTTTAATCCCCCCCCCCCCTATTGTTAATTGATCTACAGGTATAAGAAGTTGTGCTTTGACCTAATTAATCTCTTAATCGGTGCGTGTGACTAAATACTTAGTACGAGCGACAAATAATATTTATAACAAGCGAATTAAAATATTTATTACAAGAGAATTAAAGTATTTATTTCAAGAGATTTAGACGTATTTCGCTCCATATATGTCTTCATATTCTATACAAGCACGAGTTAAGGCCTTCAGACATAATCGCCATTTTGTTAATAGATACCTTGTCGTAGATGTATGTAAAACATGCACACTTTGATTTTCTATGACAAGATAGAATCAATATATAACGGAAATTGTTCATTTTTTTCTGTTTTATAATACTTAATACAACATAATTAAAGTATTTCTGATCGCTAGCGTTAGTAACTTCTGTAAACTACATGTTCAATAATAATCGACATAGT